TTTTCTCATGCTCTCCAATTCTTTCTAGAGACAAAACCAGATAGCCAATACATAAATCAACAGTCAGTCATTATCATGACCTAAAAGATTTAGTCATTTTTCAAAGCATTAATGTCTTTCTCTGCAAATAAGAGAACACCTTGAGCATTGTTATTCAAAAGAATGATGGCAAAAAAAATAAATAAATAAAATGGTCCGATCATCAAGAGAAAGCAAAAGAAACAATCATCTCAAAATGATACAATTTAGGTTAATTTTTTACATTTAAATTTTAAACACCACAGAGCAGCATTGATCACCAACTTTGCTAACAACCAAAATAAACCCTAACAGGAATAAAAAGTATAAGAGAACATCACAGACATTCATCTACAATAGAAAAATAGTGGTGTCATACAACTTTCCTCTGCCAAAGAAAAGAAAAAATGAGAAGTAACACGTTATTACCGGGATACGATTGTCAGAATTATCAAAAACAATCTCCACAAATGCAGATAAAACCTGGTGTCCTGCACCTTCCTGTTTGATTTGGCATATATTAAAATTAAAGAATGAAAGATCCACATCAAAATAGTTTAAAGGAAATGTACTGTGAAACATACATGTAACAGTGCCTGCCTATCTTCACTGCGCAGATTCTGGAAGAGGTCACTCAAAACAAAGCGAATTGCTACGATAAAAACCATAAGAGAAAGTTCAATGTCATTTGGTTTTAAGAAGTACCAGTCAACAAATAGAAGTGAAGTAACATAATTAAAGTATAGTTACCATGGAAAAAGTTTGTTTTGCCAGATCCATTAGCACCAACTGCAGAAGCAATTATTTAAATAAATATCAAATGTTAGACATAACATCACCTAATTTCAATAGTGCAGTGTCAGAATTGATAACAGATTATAACTCAGACATCAAGGTAGACAAAATAAAAGACTTTACAGAACACAGAAACACACACAAAAACAAAGAATATGTACATGTCCATGAAAGCAAAGTGCAATAGTTTATTTATTTCAAAGCATTATAAGCCCACCTCAAAAACCACATGGGTAACATTGGTTACAGATAAAGCATCAATAAAGTTCCCTATGATCTTCATACTATAATTGTAATATAAAAGTTTATTTTCTTTAATAATGGGAAATTTTCACAAGCACATGATTAATTAAGGGCATTCTTCCAACCAAAAGCAGGAGAAAAGTGATTCCCCTGCAAATTCTAAACCAAAATTTCCATTAAGACAAAAGTTAATGTAACTATCTGATTATTTAATACTTTTCAGGGTCCAAAGAAATTACTTGCAAAAAATATGTTGAACACTTCTCCATACAACTAAATCAGTGTACTTTTGAAATCACAAAAAAATGAAACAAGTACGAAAATGCAAAAGACAGGAATTTCATATAATGCCCTCTATAGTTGTCTCCAACAAGCAAAGAAAAATATCAACTAGCATTTTTTAAGGAAATACAACATTACCAACACAATTAACTTTAGGACTGAAAGGCTCAGTAGCAATCTGCTCCCTGTAGCTTTTGAACCCTTCTATAATAACCTAAATTGATATAAAAGATAATAAAAAATAAAATAAAACTCATCAAAAAATGAACTGAAGGCAGAAATTTCAAAACTAATAAGCCAACTCTACCACAAACTAATGATCACCTGTTTTATAAACATGATGAACTACCGAATTAGCCAGTCTCTGTAAGAGAATTTGGAAGAATACAGAGTCAGTAACAATTACCAGAAATGATAGATAGTATTACGTTACCTAGAATGTAAGAGTAAGTTCCTCAACATTAGATGAATAAAGAAATGAAGAAATAAATAAATAAAGACGAATACACATCATAAAGCAACAATACCACATCCTAAACACTATGCCTACACATTTAACAACTTTAAAAGCATCATCTTGTTATTACCTAACAATAAGTGTGTTTGGGATACAAAACAAATAGTACTAAGATTTTGAATAATTTAAAATTAAAAACCATATTCTTTTTCATGTCAAAATGAATGGTTTAAACATAAAAACTATGTTCAAAAGTGCTCCTCATTTTAGCTATTTGTTCATTTTTAGTTAAGTATATGATTTAGCTTTTCATTGTTTACTAGTGTTTTTTAGCAACTTTCAAGGAAGTTAAAGCGGAAAAGCAAACAAACAAAGCCTAAATTATTCTCTTTCTGAATTCACTTTTCACTTTTTTCTTTCAAATGCTGTACAATTTATAAACTCCAAAACTATAACATAATAAAAAAATTTTAAAAAATCAGACCTCTCTAGCGTACAGAAATCATCGTCATTCTTACAAACAGAAAAATTCAAGTAATAAAGCTCCCACAACGAAAAAAAAAAAAAACAAAACAAAACCACTTCCAAAAATCATCTCCAAGCATGAAAAACAGCAGTGAAATCCATCAGCAGTAGCTAGGGTTTCGAGTGCTTGGAAATTTCCAAATCAAGAAACAAAAAAAAAAAACCCTAGCCAAACAACAAATAAATCGAAAATATCACAAATTATCTACAGGAATTTTCACTCTAGGGTTCTTAACAACTAAACTATTTTTTTTTAAATAAATTGCAGTTAAAAAGCGTAATAAATCGTAAAAGAAATTGATGAAATTAATGTTATAAAAACTTACAGCTAAGAGCAGCTAAGTTGAGTTCATGTGCCTCGAAGAGGAAAATAGGGAGAAAGGATATTGACTTGCAGTGGAAAAATGTAGGAGTAAAGGCAGCTCAGTTTTTTTCTTTTTTTTTCCTTCTCCGGTTTTTTAGGTGCCAAGGTTTTTATTGCAAGGCGACTGCAGGGTGCGCAGGTTAAGGGGTGTGCGCATGGGATGAAGTTTAGACAGGTTCGCTCGCGTATCGGTGGGAGGCAAAAAAGTGCAAAATTATGGGCTGCAAAACTGAAATTATTTCTGGATTTTGTTATGGTGCGCCTTAAAAGGGCGTATTGTGAATGATTGTAATCGGACTGTTTGTTTATGAGATTTTGCTATCCCTGGAGAGAATAAGACTCGCTTGCAAGGGCACGGCTAAATGTAACGAAAACATAGTGATTTCGTATATTTATATAATATAAAATATAAAATTTTATATATTTATATTATATTTTATATAAAAATTATGTATTATAATTTTTTATGATATAAAAATATAAAATATATATTTTTTAATTTTATTAAATTTAAATATAATTATTATTAAAATTTTAAATTACGTTATTTTTATATTTTATATTCGTATCATATTCATATTTTTTTATTATATCATATTTTAAATTATTAAATCTAACATGATATAATGTTTAAATACGAAATATAAAAAAAACAAAAAGAATAATTATGGAAAGATTTTAGCAATTTAAGCAATATTTTTTTAATCTTAATTTTAAATTTGATTGTAATTCATTTTAATCTTTAATATATTTTTATTTATTATTTTTATATTTTGTATAAAAAACTTATTTATAAATAAAATTTTTATGTATCTTTAAATTTTCACATATGTAAAGTTTCACTTCCAACTAATCATCAAACATGTTTAATTACAACAACCCCAATCAAATTTTCTAACCCATTATAAAGTTGATTTTACAAATTATAAAATTGTATGAATATCATGACATGTTAAAAATTCAACTCTTCTTTTTTTATTTTGATTTCTATAAAGAGATATAAAAAAATAGTTTATATATTTTCAGATTTTTTCAAGAACAATTATAAGAAATTCTTAAAAAATGAAAAATTTTGAAAATAAAAATAAATAATTAATTCTTGAAATAGGAAACATATTTTAAATCAACTCTAAATAATTATATTACCTAATAAATCTCTAGGACTTCTAAATGCATCATCCAAATTTCTCTATACACCTAATCAATTTTTTTTTCAAAAACACCTATATAACAAATATCAAATTTATCATTTAATAAATTACAATTTTACAGTATTTTTCTTCTTTTCCTTTTTTTTTTCCCTCTTTCATCCTTCTTTTTCTTATACCCAATTGAATCTTATTTTTTTATATTTTTATAAATCTATTTTCGAGAATATAAATAATTTTTGAAAATCTATATCCGAAATTTATTATTTATTTTCAAAAATAAATTTCTAAAATATATGTTATGTTTTTCATAGATGGATTTTCAAGAACCTTAAAAGGTTTCTTGGAAATACTTTAAAAACTTATCGAAAACGAAATAGATTTTTAAGAAGTTTAAAAGTTTTTTTTGAAAATAATGCATTTTTTAGAGTCTCAAAGGTTTTTTGAAAATCTATTTTCAAAGAGTTTTAAAAATTTCTTGAAAATCTACTTTTAAGAAACTTGAATTTTGCAAAATTCATTTAATAAATTCTAACCTATTTTTGCATACATTTAAACTAAATCAAACAAAATAAATCTTAAAATCTTACTTTTAATCAATAGAAAACTTTAAAAAAAATGTAATTTGAGGTTAATTTGATGGATTTAGAGTTAATATGAGTTTGAGATTGAAGAGAGAATAAGAGAGAAGAAAGAAAAAATATTGAGAGTATGAAGAGAAAATCAATTGTTGAGGGATGACAATTATTTAGTGAAAATAATAAATTTAAATTTGAATTTGGGGTGTATTTAGTAATGGATAAATCTCCCTTATTATTATTTTTCATAATAACAATTATATAAATTTTAATATAAAATAAAGAATAAACAACCTTGACCAAAAAAACAACAATGAACAATGTAACCTTTCAATATTTTATTAAATGGTCACAATTTTTGGTTCCCCTAAATATGGGATTGTATAAAATCACGTTGTTGTTTTATAAATTGAATAAATTCAACACCGATAAATCAAGTATTGAAATTCAATTTTGAAAATTTTAAGTATTGAAATTATGATATAAAAATTGTTTGATATGCTGTTGAAAATTAAATGTTTAATGAAATTTTTTATTAATCTTTTATAAATGAAAATTATGATTTTATAATTTTTTTAATTGGTAAAAGTTTAAAAAAATAAATAGTTGAAAGAAGCTCCCTACCAATTACACAACCAATTACATTGAAATTAAGCAAAATTTTTATTGAAATCCAAAATCAAATTATAGGCACAATCTATAGAAGCTCCCAAGCTATGTTCTGAATCATTCATCAAACTCCAAAGCTTTGAAGTATTTCCCATCCAAGAGATAGGTGCCAATAGCCAGACGAACAGCCCACACGTCCTTGGGTTTTCTTGAAACAATTCTGCAAAGTCAGTACTCACTCACATTATTCCAAGCATTTCATTAGCATAAAAGCATTTGTTTTTATAAAAAATTAAGTTTGTGTAGCTAAGAAGACTCAAACCTTCCAACATCTCCAGGCTTGACCAAGCCAGAATTGACTCGGAGGCATGGAACTGATGCTGCAGTCTTTATCATTTTGGGTGCTTCAACCACAATTATAGGAGACCCTATTTCGAGCCTTGAGCTTCTTGCTGGCAACCCCGAGTCGGCTGAAGATGATTCACACCTCAGAAGTAGGGTTGGGTTTCGAATTTGACGTCTGGTTGAGCTGTTGAGTCGTACGGTTTGATTGTCGTGACAAATTGGGCATGGAAATGTTGAAGTAGAAGAAACTGAAAGTGCCATAAGATACGAGATGGATAATATTTTTGTGGCAACGGGGAAAGTGTTTTTTCCTCTGCACTGTTTTTATTGTATAGTCGTTTTGCGTGCTATGTACTTGAAGACTTAAACCGTTCATTCTCGAGCATTTTTATACGTATTCATGTATCAATATTATATTTATTTTATATTAAATACATAGGTTATATTTAATATACAAAATTAAAATAAAATAAAATAAAATAATATTATAAATAAAAATATATTAAATAATATCATCATATTTTATACTTGATGTATGTAAAAATTAAAATAAAATAATTTATTTATTGATTAGAATTATTTTTACTCAAAATTTATATAATAATTTAAATTATTGATATAATTTTTTAAAAAATAATAATCAACAGTAAATTTAACCCTATCAAATAAAAATAATCCTATTCACTTTGAAATGATTGAATCATTTTATATTAAGATGATAATAATTCTCCTTTTAATTTTATCATTTTCAATTAAATACAAATTAAATATAATATAACATAATTATTATACTATCTTATCAATTATCTTATGCACAAAATATAATCATAAAATATTAAAATTATCATATTATGTTGACACAAAAATTCTAAACATATATATTTTTTATTTTTGTCAAATTTATGTGTAAATTTTATCAAACTTTAAAATTGTATTGTTTTTGTGTTTTTTTTTTTTTTATTGTGTATAAATTCTTTTAAGTCTATTAGAAGTTTAACATTGCAAATAGACCAAAATAAATATTTTAAATAAGATAGTAAAAAACAATCCTAAATAAAATGATTCTAGGCACTGATAAATACAACTTTCGAGGTCATTCAAAGAAGTTTTTTTAATTGATAAAACAACTTTTATCATTTTGACTATTTTTTAATAAAAATTAAAAGAAAGAAAGATGCTTTCATTCAATTTAATCAAGTTAAAACCATCTTTTTCTATATATCTAATCAAGAAAAATGAAAAATCACCATTCGCACAAAATACATAACAAAAGAAAATGAATCGAACTTAAACGATCAACCAAAAAAATCAAGTGAAAACATGCAGGGTATAATCTCAAAACCTTTAGTCCTTTGCAACCTATACCCCTACTCTTTTCGAACCCTTTGGCTGTGTCTGTGTACATTTTTACTTCTTCGAATATGTAAGATATGGATCCTGTGCTATTGTCAAAACATCTGGCCTTTCTGATTGGTTATATGTTAGACATCGGCGAATCAAATCCTGCACAGTTAAAAATATGATTAAGTCATCATTAAGCTACCAAAAGTTCTCACAAATTGGCATTCCATGACAGTCAAGCAACTGACAGTCTGAAACTGCAGAAATATGGTATTGAATCCAGCGAATCTGCAGTATATACATCGACATAGAAAGCAAATGCTCTTATTGTTCATGCATCAGTAAAATTTCTTTGCTTCTTAAAGACAGGGAAAGAGAATAACTAAACTCTGCAGTTATTGTGGCCAAAAAAATAAGAAAAAGAACTCTGCAGTTATTGGATTTGGATCACCATTGAGAGGAAGTATTATCTGGAAAGAGATTATCTACAATAATCGACTGAATGCCAGTCAAAGTCAAACTGTCATACTGCCGTAAGTGTAATATATAACTCCGCTTTTGATGCTTATGTACAGAAGTTGTTTCATCCATCAAGACAAAAATATGCATCAGAAACTAACTTAGATAGATTGAACTAACCTTTGCCTCATTGGAGACAGTAGGTCTTGATGGGAATTCAACCTTGAGTGCTTTGATTATTGTGTCTTCGCGTAATATTCGTTCTTGAGTCTGGTCATGCCCAAAGGGGCGTCGACCAAAAAGCATTTGGTAAAATAAAACACCAGCAGACCAAACATCCACCTATTCCAAAGGAATATCACGTCAAAAAAGCTGAAGACCAAATATCGAATCATAAGCAATAATGGTGCATGGGGTCAGATAACTATTTAGGTATCTACAACCAATGAACTAGAACAAAAACTCACAAGGGCAGAAAAGTTAAACTCTATATGGTAGTGAAACCATCCACTTACTATGTTCCACAAACATGGCCCCACCCTCACTTAGCAAGGAAAACAGAGAGAAGGAAGAGATCGGGGACAGAATCACTGACCTTTGATGAAATCAGAGGTGTCTTACTGAGCTCAAAGCATTCTGGGGGCAAGTACCTGAAATTACAGAACAACAGTTGAAGCACTTTTGCTCATGAAAAGAATCAGAGAAGATGACTACGCACTATAAACAAGCATAAATAAAAAAGAAGAGGTTATATCCAAAATAAGGAAACCAGAATCACCGGCTAATTCAAACGCAATACAGAGAAAAGGGGGGCAATGATAAAGAAGCCTACACACAATCATTAGAGTGGATTAACAAGTCCGCCCGTATGGAAAGAGAGCCTGTTATGACAGCTACTGAACACCGATATAAACTAAATCCAGTTTCAAGGACATAGTACAATGCACTATCTTTCAAACATAAAATATATAGCACAAAGAATTATATTCAGAGAGAGAAGGAATTCTCATTCCAATAATTTATCCTCATAAATAATTTACTAAATTTATGACCATGACATCAATAATTATCCAAGTGACATCAGCAATCTTTTTTCTGACAATATTTCAAACTCATACAGTCATTTGTACAGAATCAAATTCAATGACATGCAGCACAAATAGGCACGAGCCTTTTTACCCAAACCCTTCTCAAAGGCCAGATTAAGTATTCAACTGAGATTCATTATGGTATTTAAGTTGAAAAAGTGCTACATTTAGCATGCGATCGACAAAAGATGTGAGGAAATTGCAGCAAAAATGAGGAGAAAAAGCAGAAGAGCTGGACATTTCAAATGTTCAAGGAAGGATATTAAACTTCATAACTCACCAATATGTTCCAGCTCCCTGGGATGTAAGCTCCATGCCCTGGGATCCAACATCATCCTCTACTATTTTGCTAAGACCAAAATCAGTCACTTTTGCTACACCTAACTCATCAAAGAGGACATTCCCAGGCTTCAGATCATAATGGATAATCTTTTGTGATCTTTTATTCAAGTATACAAGGCCTTGAAATATTTGAACTATGATAATCCTAGCTTCTTTCTCAGGCAACACAGGTGTTGCCTTCAAAACAGCATCGAGATCTTTGCCTGAAAGCAATAAAAGAAAACAAAAGAAAAAAAGAAATGAAAATTAAGCATGCGAGGCAGATATATATAACCATCATCTGGATAGGATTTGCAGGTCTTCTCTACCAAGTAAACTAAATAAAAAAAGACTCCTAGAAAAATGATGTGGTTCAGAGAGTTTACCACTGCAGTACTCTAAGACCGTGCAGAAAGTATTATGGTCAATCTCAAAAATGTCCCAAAGCCGAACAATGTGATGGTGCACCAATGTCTTGTGAATGTTGTACTCTCGAATTGCATGCCGTATGTAACTTTGCTTCTTATCCTCGCTCCACTGAGCATTCAAACCATGAAGCTTACACGCAACATATCTATGCTCTACCAAGTCATAAGCCTGCTGGAAATTTCTTACTTCAAATCACTGCAAAAAGATATATTTTCACAATTGCCAATTTTGGCAAAGGAATTCTAGACTTTTGACATAGCAAATAGGCCTTGGTCAAACATGCTGAGCAAATCATTTGAATCTCAAAAGAGAAAAGCTTGCCAAAGTTCTTACCTTATAAACCTCACTGAATCCTCCTTTGCCAAGAAGGTTTAAAAGGGCAAATCGATTATTCAGTATTTGAAAATTGTTAAAACGGGAACCATCCTCATCTCGAATGCGCTTCATTTCACGTATAAGCCTTCCCTTATCTAGTTCATAGCGATCTCTTTCACGGAGAATACTTTCCTCCTCCTACAGAAAATCCGCAACTCAATCATGAAGAATGTGCAAGGAAAAATCAAGAGAACTTTTGTGATCCTTAATAATATCAAATAGAATAAAGAACAATCATATGCAATGATAAACTTACACGTTTAATACTGGCTAGACGTGATTTGTATATCTCATCCTGGATGAGGATATCTTCTTCTTGTGCACCAGATTCCACATCAGTAGCATCACCCTTGTCTTCAAGCAAGAGAAAATTGCTCTTCTTTCAGATGCATACTCTTTTACATATTTATTTCTGTCTCCAAAGTTGTGTTGGATGTGTGTGTGTGTGTGTGTGTGTGTGTGTGTGTGTGTATGCTACAATATCTGTTTATGTTCCATACTTATGAGTATGTTGGTTTTTGTGTGTATGTAACAATCTGTTAGGTGCATATACACCAAGAGTAAAGCCTTCAAATAAAAGTTAGGTGCATGTAAATGAGATGCCACCAATGCCAGTTTAATAAGTCAAATATGCAATTAAAATCTTTTTAAATATGCACCAAGTGCAAGGCATGGCTAAAAAACAGTATGATATGTTAAATATATAGCTAGGCCCCAGGTTAGCACATGCTTCTGTTCTGAGGTGCCCCAAAATAGCAAATTTTTTACACTATTGAAGCTTTTTGGCCTTCAGCATGCGCTAAAGGGTCTCTATAGAGCATTGCATCTGGTAGGTCAAATGATAGGTCACCAGAAACTGATTCAACTTCTTTGCCACATACTAAAGAGATATTAGTAAAATAGTGGTCCACCAGAAAGATCCCAACTGATCCTAACATATTTTCTTTTCCTTATCTTGTGTAATTGCTATCTAATTATTAATATCTGATATTGACATTTATTTTATGTAACAGTAGTTCAAATTTATTTTTATGTTCAATTTATAAATATATTTATTGTCAAGATTAAATTATAGTTTAAGAGATTGACTCTCAAAAGGTTTATACCTCATTTACTTTAAGATTTCTTGCCTCATAAGAGGCAAAAAAAACAGCTTGTCCAATGCTTATTATATATCTTTATAGTTTTATCATCATGATATTAATAGTTGATTTAATATGCTCTTTTATTTAAAAATCCATTTATGGTTTTATCAAGTATATCAATAATTAAGTATTTGGGCATCGGCCCTTCATTGAAAAAGAGGTCTTTTTGGTCCTATAGAAGACGCCCTGGTAGCTAATTAGGCTTTATGCATATATT